CCTGGTGTGTTTTGGGGGGGGGCATTCGCCCTATAGCCAAGGGAAAAAAAAAAAAAAAAAAAAAAACTCACTGTGATTTTAGGCAAATCATTTTTCTCAACACTTCCTCAAAATGCCCAGCTGAACTCCTTTTAGAATCCTCCTGTTCATGTATTTCATGTCTCATTTGCAGGCGAGGAGAAAGTCCCTGGTAAATGTGTGAGTCAGTGGAGGATGGAGAAAGGCAGTCCCCGGGGTGCCCAGGACTCACTTGCTGATGCCCTCGAAGGAGGCCTCTCTGCAGATACTGCCACTGTCTGTGTTGACACCACGCTGGAGAGAGAGGGGAAGGTTAGAACACGGAAGTGTCAGGTGAGGGTTGCAGAGTCCTCAAAACCTGCAGGGAAGGCCCTGCCAACTCCAGCCGGGCTCAGAACTGGTTAGAACCAGGAGCTCCTACCCTGGCCCAGCAGCTCCAGCCCAACTACCCTGTCCCTTCCTGCCTTTGGTGATGAACAAGCAGCCCATCCAGGTCACTCCAAGCCTGGCCCAGCACAGAGCAGGCACTCGTTTCCCTGCTGCAGCTAGCAAGTGGAGAGAGTGGGGGCACCATGAGTCCCATGGCGCCCCAGATGCACAAGGCCTTCACTATGGCCAGGTCAGTACCTTTGCTGATGCCAGCCAGGTGGCTACGGCACAGAGGAGAGCCAGGTGAGGAGAATGAGGCTCAGGGACCACCCCACCACCATCACAAATAGGCTCTCCCCAGGCTAGTCCTTCCGTCTCATCCACACACTGTCGGTAACAGAACGAGGGCTGGAGGACTCCTTCCAAATCCAGCCCTGCGGGGAGGGCAGGCAAGACCCAATTCCACAAAGACCGTCAAAGCTGGGTTATATCCTTCTCCTTTTTCTAATTGTAAGGAGACTCCTCCCAGAACTCGAACAGGAGCGGAGACACAACGAGGGATTCAGAGAAAAACATGCTATCCCCAGAGAGGCAAGGCATTTTAAATCACCGCTTCTTTCTCAAGAACTTCAGGTCAATGTCTAATTATATACTCAAATAAAACACACTGGGGCATCTTTGACCACAATCGTCTAGAACAACCTTTCTTCTTAGCCATCAAAATACAGAGCGGAAAAAAAGAGAACCAGTAGTGCTAGGGGAAAGAAAGAGAGAGAGAGAGAGAGAGAAAAAAAAACCCTCTCTCTGCAAAAATCAATTAACGAAGGAAAGGAGAGTCACTTTGGGAGAAAGAAAGGTTGTGCGTCTGCTTTATACGTGCAGCTCCTGAAGTCAAAGGAGTGCAAAATGTTATATATCCTCTCAGACACTCCACAGCCGTGCCAGCGGGCAGGCCCATCACCTAGCCCTGCTGCAGGCCCGCAGGCCCTAGGTCCCTCGCGGTGCCCCAGGGTGCAGCTTCTTCCAGGGCAGGTGCCACAGTCGTGCCAGCGGGCAGGACCATCACCTGGTTCTGCTGTAGGTCCGCAGGCCCTAGGTCTCTCGCAGTGCCCCAGGGCGCAGCTTCTTCTAGGGCAGGCACCCAAAGTGTGTTTTTCAAACTCCATTAACAAGAGAAGGGACAGGGTGGGAAGAAATTGACATTCCACACCCACAAACCACTAAGACCAAGGGAAACTCAAATAGATCCCAGGGTGGGTGCGGTGATTTCTCCACTGTGGCCTTGTGACAGGACAGTCAGCCACTCAGAAAGAAACAGGTGTCCCTATGTATCATCAATGCCTATTCAACCTGCTCCCTCCTTCCTTTCTGTTTACTTATCTCACAAGTAAGGGAAAAGGAGAAGGGGAGGCGTGGAGAGGAAGGGGAGCACCTTTGGTAGGTTCTCATCATGCTGTGATTCCCTCACAGCCTTCCAGTCAGCTGGGATCAGGGTATGCCCAGAATCCTCTCTGTTTCTTAATCCTCCCCTTTGGCCCTGACTTTTACAAAGGCATGAGGCTCCCTAAAACCCTCCCTTGTGCCTGGCTCCTGGATACGAACCACTTACCAGAGTGAGGAGGACAGAGGGGTTCAGGGACGTCAGGACACTGGCGATCTGAAAGGTAGAAAGATAAACCCACTTTAGAGCAATCGCAAGGTCTGATGCAGAGGAAACAGCACCATGACTTAATGACAGTGCACGTGTACGGAGCAGGTCCTTATGATATACAGCGCTGTTGTCCCAATACTACAGACGAGGAGCCTGGGGCTCACAGGGCTTGAAGGATGTCTGAAGGCCACACAGCTGTCAAGCAGCAGAGGATGTCCAACCTAAGCCTGGCACTCGTCCTACCATGCTCGGCCTCCAGCCACCACAAAGCTCTCTGGTTCTAAACAGCCCCTCTCACCAAGGCCAGCACCTCTGCCCGCACAAGTCCTTCCTAAAAGACCCATCCCCCCAGAAATCCCTTAGGCACAGGCCCCTTCAGCTTCCCATCCCCAGGGCAGCACCTCTCTCTCCCTGCCCCACATTCATCTCCTAGACTGTGGGAGTTAGGAGTCAGCCCCAACCACTAGCCTCCACACCATGTCCCGCTCTCCACCTCTCCATGATATGACCTGAGCCATCGGGCCAAACTCAGGCCGAGGCTTGGTCCCAGCATGGCAGTGTTGGGAGGTGGAGCCTTTATGAGGCGGAACCTAATGGGAGGCATTGGTCATGGGGGCTGTGCTCTCATGGAGGACTGGTGTGTTCTCACAGTACTAAGTTCTCTTCCTCGCAAGACTGCACAGTTACCACGAGAGCAGGCTGTTGAAAGGCAAGGTTGCTTTTCACGTGCTCTCTGCATGTGTCTCACTGCCTTTTTTGCTTCTCTACCATGTTGTGAGGTGGCCCGTGGCTCTCACCAGAAGCCGAGTAGATGCTGTTGCCATGCTCTTGGACTTTCCACCAGAAACACCAGCTAAAGGGATCAGTGGATGGCATAATGGTTACGTTGCTAGACTTCCACGTAGTCAACAGCGGTTTGAGTCCTGAACTTGGCGGCTTAAAACTCATGTCAGGCACATGTACATGTGTGCTCAAAATTTCAAGAGGAGAAGGGATTGCAGCTTGGCCGTTCCTCCTGGGGGGAGGGGAGGTGATATCGTGCTGTCTCTGTCTCTCTGGTGAGTGTACATGCCCTATAGCAAAAATCTCTTAAAAAAAAAAAAAAACAGCTAAATAAACCTCTTTACCTAGCCTCAGCTATTCCATTATAGAAGCTCAAAATGGACTAAGTCACCCACCATGGCCACTGGGCCCCCCTTCCTACACCTCAGACCCAGGAATGAGCTTGCGTGGCTCATGCACCTCTCTCCCTGGAATATCTACTCCCCATCTTAGCTACTCTGTCCATTTGCACTCAGAATGGAAGTCCCCAGTCCCCAGGCAGGTTCGTTCATCACCCCTGTGTCTCACTGACAGCCATGCCCTTGGCAAGGTGCCCATCACACGCCATCATCCATGATACCTGCACCCTAAAGATGCTGACCCCTCTGCTAGGAGTGATTTTTTCCTCTTCTGACCCTCACCCCTCAGTCTGCCCTGCATCTTGGCTACTGCAGACCCTACAGCAGTTAAGCCTCCGCCAGGGCCAAGAAGAGTCCCCTCTCTGCAGCCCATGCCCCTCCCCACATGCCCAAGTTAAACTCCATACATCCTTGACACTGGGGAAAAGCAAAGACAATGCACTATTTTAACAGCTTGATTGAGCTATCACCGACATACTCTACAGCACACATTTCAAGTGGGTATTTTGATAAGTTTTGACACATGTACATATACCTTTTTTAATACTGAGAGGCTCCCGGAGAAAACCTAGAATATACTGAAAACTATAAAAAGATAAAATGCATCTACAATTCTATCCCCAGAGACTTTTTAGCTCTGCACATAAAAACAGAGATCTGTAATGACATTTGGATCATATGAAATTACATGCTTCACTTATTTCCTGTCATTAAATATTCCTCAAACACGCAATTTTCAGCAGTCAGTACCACTGGGGATGGTAGACGTCCAATGAGTCCTTGATGATGGCCTGTGTCAGTCCCCTTACTCCTGTCATCTCAGGTACCCAGCCATGAAGATGGTGCTGCACGTATCTAGATGTCACAAGTCAGAAAGGCTTGGAGATTTGAGAACCTGTCCCAGTTCACAGGGAAAAACTAAGAGCCCAGATTCGAACCTATGACCAGTTAAGACTCTCTCTTAACAAACGTAGTATACTTTATTCATTCCTCTAATTTTTTTAGGCTTTTACCCATTTTACTTATTATTTTTAAAATGTGGCCAGAGAGAGCGAGCGAGCAGGAAAGCAAGAAAGCAAGCTGCCTGATCTGGGACTCAAACTGTGGTCAGCCATGTGGAAGTCCAGCGTCCCAACCACCACGCCACCTGCTGACCCTGACGCTTATGTTATGTCTAATGACTAGGTACTCCAAATAATATAATGATGAACATTCTTGTACATAAGGCTTTTTGTCCTCAAGGTTCAATTGCTTTAAAAAAAAAAAATTTCTTTAAAAAAAAAAAAAAATTAGGGTCAGTGGTGGTAATATGGAGACCATGGTTTGAATCGCTGGCCCCGTCAGCCTGAAACACACCAGGCATGCGTATGAGTACGCAGGATCTGATGGGCTGGAGGACTAGAGGAAAGGGTGACTAGACTCTGGAAGGTGCTCATCTCTCTCTCAATCCCAAGTGTACCAACATGAATAAAGAAAATAACCACATTTGACTCGGTTGAACTGCTGGGTCAAAAGCCATGTACTCTGTCAAGGTTTGTGATGCTCACAGCCAAGAGACTCTCCGGATATGTGCCAACCACTTTCCCACCAGCCATGTGTGAGGCTCGTCCCTCCAGATCCCTACTCGTTTGCTCAGTAGCGGCTCTGAGAATGATGGAGAATGTCAGCCTCTGTGTTACACAAATAACAGGCTTGGCTGTGTCCCTCCCACGTCCCCAGCCCCTGCTAGATGAGGTGGGGGGGGCTCATTAAGAGGAACGGCTGCACGTGTGGGGCCCTGGGTGTGTTGCTTCGTTGACGTGAAGGGTCGACATTCATCAGCACGGAACGATTCCGTCAATTACAGCAGTGGAATCGGAGAGCGAGTAGGCACTTGGGGATTGTATCTGCTATTGTCCTTGGGAGAGAGGAGCAGGATAACAAATGTGCGGGCGGATGGTTTTTCTCTCTGCGATGACTCTCAGGACGTGCTGGTTAGGAATAATGGAGGAGAAAGCAGGCCTCTCCACACCGCCGGATGCTCAGACGATCGAGGCCCAACGCGAAGAGCAGGCTGTGTGTCTGCCGGTCCTGGCAGGCCAGCATCTTTTATTGATCACAACTGCTTGAGTGGGCCCTGGTTACCTCTGCGCCTGCGAAACCTCTCCAGGCCTGGCAGCTCCATCCGCCCTTCCCCGTGGAGACCCATTAGCACTACACTCTCATCAGCACACCCAGATTCCGTGCTTCAAAAATTAAGGGAATACGACGCGGCTGCATGTCGCTGGCTCAAAATGCGGCCCCAGCACACATGACAGCACAGTCCTGTCAACCCAGGGCCTCGTTTGCATGGAGCAGTGGCCACCAGGGACCCATCGGCTCTCACAAACCAGAGCTGTTAAACGTCCCTGCCTTGCTTCATGCTATGGCCAGCCATTGATTTCCCAGGCAGCCCTGCCTCCCTGGCAGGTCGAGGAGGACGGTGCTCACAGAGTTCAGCAGAGCCCTGTGGATGTGGCTCCTCCCCTGGGGACAATCAGAGGTTTCCCACAGACACCTCGCACACTCTCCTCACCAGGGCCTCAATCAGGCCTACAAGCCACTCTTCACAAAGTGATGATCCAGACAAAGGGGCTAGACAGATCTTCTTCGCCCAGTGTTGTCAAGCAAGCCCACAGGGCTCCGGAGAGCTGGACTTCATCCTGCAAGCACTGAAGCTCTTGACAATACACCATCTCTCATGGCAGCCTCCTGAAACAGGAGTGCACACTGGTGGCCCGCAATGCTTTTAGAAATTTGAATTTGTTTCTAAAATGTAAGCAGCAGCAAACATCACAGAGAATTAGAATGTGCAGTTATTCCTGAACTGGGAATATCCAGCAGCCCTGGGCCTTTGGCAGAGACAGCTCTCCATGGTCCCAGCGCAGAGCCCACCTCTCCCAGATGCCTCCCCACGCTGAGGCTGAGTGACAGGTAGTGGCCCTCCTGTGTGGCTGTAGTTGTTTCTCTTGCTTATCCTGCCTACATCTGGGTCAGCAACCATGCACCTCCCACCCTCCGCCTGGTGCCCCAAAGGAGGGTAAGTGCACGGGACATTCCCTCTGACCCTCCACTTCCAGGCAGTTACACAGATCAGTCTTTGCATGGGCCTTAATAGTGCCAACTTGAAGCGCTTCTCAAGGTCCTCCTGAGGGCCCCCTTCTCATGGGAACAGTCTTCTTGATAATTAAACTCAGGATTATCTATGGGAGGAGGGAAACTAGGGAGCCAGGCTTGCTACATCCTACACTCGCGAGTGTGTGTGTGTGTGTGTGTGTGTGTGTGTGTGTGTATGTTTTGCCATAGAGCTCATGTTCTCCCTAGAGAAAGACAAATAGAATAGTGAGAAATCACCCCCACCCCGGGGGCGGAGGGGGGGGGGCGATGGTCATGCTGCAATCCTTTCTCCTCCATTCTCCTCCTGGGATCTTGGGCACGCACGCACACCCCTGGCATGATTTTTAAGCCGCCCAATCCGAGACTTGAACCATGGTTAGCCATGTGGGAGTTTGGTACTTTAACCACCACACGACCTGCTGGCCCAGACACCTGCATTTTATAAATGGTATCAAGTGGCCAGTCATGGCCTGGGAGGGTAGAGAAGACTTCCTGCTTTCCTCCAGAGCAGACAGAGGTCAGCAGCTGGAATGTGTCACAGATGGCGAAAGCTGCCCAATGCTAGTGAAGACTGAGCACCGTAGAACTGGCCTAGGGAAGCTTTTCCCCACATAAGAGGGCTTCCTGTCACCTACATGATGAGTAAGCCCTGGGTACCTCTGGCAACCTTGAAACACCTACCAACCCAGGGGCTCAGTCCATCAGTTTGCACTTTCGGGCAGGCTCCTTTTACTTTTTTTTTTTTTATTTTTTTTAGTTTTTTGTTACCAGGTATATGTAAAGAGAGAGAGAGAGAGAGAATGAAAAAGTGAGAAATCACCCCTAGCAGGATGGCCATGCCACAATCCCTTCTCCGCCATTCTGCTCTCAGGATATGAGGCATACACGCACATGTGCCTGGCATGTTTTTCAAGATGTAGGGTCTGGGACCCAAACCACACAGTTGGCCATGTAGGATCCAGCTACCTTAACCACTACACCGCCAGCTGGCCCAGCAAGCTCCTTTTCAAGCTACAGGATATCAAAGGAGCTTGGGAGCCTGTGTCACCTCCACAACAGTGACTCTCGATGCTACTGCACAAATGCAGGGCTGCAGGCACGTGTGCGGGGCTGTAGGACTAGGCCTCTGGTACCCCAGGATCCTGGGGCCACATCTCAATGCTGCCACTCCCTGGTGTAAGACGAGGTCCTTCAGTCTCTGAGCCCTAGCCTCCTCATCCCAGCTGTGGCTCAGTGTGGGACAGGGCGAGAAGGATGAGGGGGTCCGTGTGAGCTGTCGATGTCCATGGAACACAGCATGAAGCAGCTGTCCCTTTATCAACATGAGCCCTCATTTCCAGCAAGAACAGCAGCAGTGACAATAATGACGAAACGATTGACCATGACGACAATGATGATGCGGCTCCACTGAAGACTCCTGAACCCTAAAGAGATCTGCTCTGGAGCCAGCAGGTGGCATGGTACATGACATGGCTGTGTACTCCCACAACCGACTAAAGTTCAAGTCCCAGACCTGGTGGCTTGAAAATCACACTGGGCTCATGTGCATGTGTACCCAAAATCCTGAGAGGAGAATGGAGGAGAAGGGACTGTGGTGTGAGCATCCTCCCTGGGGGGTGATTTCTTATTTTCCCTTTCTCCAGTGAACACACACATTCTATGGCAAGAATCTAAAAGAAAAAAAAAAAAAGAGAGAGAGAGAGAGATCTGTCCTTTGACCTCCACTGGAGCCCTCACTTAAGATTCTGCCTTATAAGTAAAGGTTAAGACCGAGCTGGGGTATGCGACTGTCACACTACACCACTGTTGAGCATGTCCCTCAAGACCAAGCCTGGCTCTGTTTTACTGCCTTTAGAGACCTGTTCTCATGGAGTTCTGCTGTGTAATGATGAGCACTCCGGACCCTGGAGATCAGCTCTCCTTCCACTCTCCAGAAATCACAAAATAGATGGAGTCAAATTTTCCCCTGATTATGAAAACAACAATGCTGAGCAGCAGCTGTGGCACAGAGAAGGCTCTCACTGGGCAGTCCTATTCCAGCCGGGGGCAGGGAGCCTTTGCGGGTCTTAAGACAGGAAGTTTTCTGGCTGCTCCCTCCCAGCCTTCATACCAAGGACACCTGAAGGATCAATTTGCAAAGAAGGGCAATGACATTAAGTTGCACTTTATGGGGGCCAGGGACATGGTGGTTAGAGGCTGGATTCCCACATGGCCGACCACGATTCGAGTCTTGGACCTGGTGGCTTGCTTTCTCACTTTCCTTCTCTCTCTCTGTCTCTCTCTGGTCAAATTGAAAAATACAATAAATTAAATTTTTTTTTTTTTAAAAAAAAAGATGCACTTTATAGGGGCAGGAGATACACATGCCAAAGGAGAGGATCAGGAACAAAATGAGAATTGAAGAACAGGTCTCTCCCTCTCTACTACTTTAAAATACAAGGGGACAGGGCTAGCAGGTAGCATAGTGGTTAAGGTGTTAGATTCCACATGGCTGACTGTAGTTTGAGTCCCAGACCCGGCATGATTGAAAATCATGTCAGGAGTGTGTGTGTGCATGCCCAAAATCCCAGGAGGAGATCGAAGGAGAAGGGACTGCTGCATGGCCATTCCCCTAGGAGGTGATTTTTTTTCACCTTTAACTGTCTGTCTCTTCAGTGAGTACATGAGCCCTATGGCAAAAACCTTAAATAAGAAAAGAAAGAAAGAAACTCAAAGACCTCAATAACACTAAATTAATTAATTAAAATTAAAATACAAGGGGATTGGGGCCAGAAGGTAGTGTGGTGGTTAAAGGCACTGAACTCGCACATGGCCAACCATGGTTTGAGTCCCAGACCTGGTAGCTTACCTTCTCACTTTCCGTCTCTCTCTCTCTCTCGTCAAATAAAAAGAAATAAATGAATAAATAAAATTAAATTAAATAATTATTTAAAAAAATACAAAAGGGACTCCAAAAAGTTCATGGAAAAGTGGAATTAAGGTATGAGTTTATTTAGGTCCAAAAAAATTTTGAAATTCACATAGTCATAATAAACATTTTTTAAAATAACTTTTTGAAGACCCCCCCTCCCCAGTAGAAGAGACATGGCAAAGTATCTTATAAAGGGCATGCAAATAAATGCTCAGTCTCCTTTCGGGACCAGCAGTTAGCATAATGGCTATGTCGCTGAACTCCCATGTGGCCAACCATGGTTCGAGTCCTAGACCTGGTGGCTTAAACTCATGCCAGGTACGTGTGCGTGTGTGCCCAAGATCCCGAGAGGAAAATGAAGGAGAAGGGATTGCAGCGTGGCCATCCCCCCGGGGGATGATTTCTCGCTTTCTGTCTCTCTGTCTCTGTCTTTCTGGTGAGTGCACGCACCCTATAGCAAAAACCTCTCAAAAAAAAAAAAAAAAAAAGCTCCATCTATTTTAGATCCTATACCCAAAGAGATCACCACAGTAGACCACACACATATTATAGACTTTTTCTTTTTCTTTTTTTTTTTTTTTTTTTTTTGCCATAAGGCATGTGTGCTCACCAGAGATAGAAAGAAGGAAAGCAAGAAATCACCGTGCGTAGGGGATGGCCATGCTACAATCCCTTCTCCACTCTCCTTTCAGGATTTTGGGCGCATACACACACACACACACACACACACACACAGCATGATTTTCAAGCTTCTGGGTCCAGAGCCTAAAGTGCAATTGACCTGCACCTTAACCACCACACCACCTGCTGGCCCCCATATTAAACACTTTTTTGATGCAATGAGTCATTCTCAAAGGCTTGGTATTGAAATCACACGACATAAAGAGCCATTGAAAGTCCCCTCTCTGCAAGATCCAACCAGGCAGAAGGTACTGAAAAAGGAGGCCCCAGTAGCCCCGTGGATACAAGTGGGGCCCCTTCCCTGAGGCCCCCACAGGGAACCCTGACAGGCACCACTATGCAGAAGCGACTGTTCACCCATGTGGTCACTCCTGTGCTGGACTGTGCCCCCAGATCCTGAGTTCAGTCCTGGGTCTCAATCACCTCTGATGCCCTCATGTTCCCAGAACCAGGCAAGGAGAGAGTATGAGAGGGACACCAGGGGAGAAGAACTGGGCCTTCATGATGAATATGAGACAGTAAAGGGCAGGGCACAAATCAGGAGCCAGCCAGCGTCCATGGCATCCACAATGTGTCCCAAGAGCTTGGGGCGGGGGTCCCAGCATGGACTAGAGGTGGCAGGGAATGCGGTGGGCCAGTGCAAGGCCTCAGAGAAGAAGGAAGAATATTCAGGACAGCAGAACCAGGGGCAGGACTGGGCCAGGCTGGGTATGGATGGTACTGAGGCTGGCCTGCTAGGGACTACGGTGAGCTGGCAGCCCCTGAGCAGAGCAGAGCCAGGCAGACAGACTGGTCTCTCGCAGCGCTGTGTGTCTGGCAGGGATTCCTGGGAGCCTGCCTCTCGCCTGGTGCTGTCACCTGCCATTACAGGCTGTGTCCTGACCAGAAAAAGGGGGGAGCTTCTGGGCCTCCAGCTGGCTGGCTCCCCTGCTCGTTCCACATTGCAGCCCCAGCTCTTGGCATGTGTCCACATGTGACCCTAGTCTGGAGACATGTGGCCATGGGAGGGCCTCAACTAGTTGATCCTGCCAGGTCCAAGCTGGACCTCCAGCAGCAGGCACTGGCTTCTGGGGGTTCCAAGTTCTACTCAGCACTAACCTGCACAGAACATAGGGGTGTGACAGCACCCAGGACAGAGCAGAGAGGCCCCCTGCATGCCTGGCAGTGGCTATAGTGTCGAGGGCCTTGGGGTTCCTAGCTGTGCTCTCACCTCTGCCATAGCCCTGTCTCAGTCAGCAGTGGGCATCAGAGGCAGCCCCTTTCACCCACCAGGACTAGGGACAGAGTCAAAGCCCCAAGAGGACAGTCGCACACCTACCCAGGCCCCAGGATACCTGCTGGACAACGGTAATGAGAAGTGGATTAAAGTCAAGAGACTTCTGACTCCACCCCACCCCCCAGGACTTTGGCAGCCTGGGGCCTTTCTGACAGTGACCTCAGCCTGTTTGGGAGGTGGGGGAGGGTGGCTTAGATTGGACCCTGTGCCACTACAGCAGGCAGGCCTGCCTCTCAGAGACACCTTCCCTCATACATCTGACCTGCCACGACCCGGGTCACCAAACGCTTCCACCCACTGCCCAGAGAAAAGGCTTCCTCAGAGAGGCTGAGGGTATGTTTCCTGCCTGCCCTTTCCAAACGGGCACTCCTGAAGGGCTGGCAGCCAGGTGGTCCCCTAATGCCCAGCCAGGCGGTAGCAGTGAGAGGAGAAGGAATCCAGAAGCAGATGGGTTCCTGGGAGCCCTGAGCTCTGAGGCAGGAGCCAGCGTCTTACCTCGTCTGCGTAATGGACGTTGTCCACAGCATACTTCTCCTTGAAGTGTTCCTTGGAGTGGATCCTCAAAGGGAAGCACAAGGAAGGCCAGGTCAGGACTTGGCAGTGGCACAGCTGGCCACACTCCTGCCCACCGAGCCCAGGATATAAAGGGCTCCCTGTCACGGCTGGCACCTAGCACCAAGCAGGCCTGCCAACACAGATTCGGGGGCAAAGGGCACTGGACCAGAGTGACTACTGACACACACAAGCTCACTTGCCCCACTTGACTCCCCACAGCTGACCTCTGGGAAGAAGCTACAGAGAAGCCTCCCTGGTCAGCCCCCTCCACAGCCAAAGAGAATCCACCAGGGCAGCCAGTGGGGCTCCACCCTCTGGAGGCAAGACCAAGCTGCCTCCCAGACCTCTTTAAAGGGAAGAATTTTTTAATTAACATTTTTTTAAATAGGAAAAAACAGTAATAATTGGCCCAGCCCAGTGGTGGTCAGTAGTTTCCCGAACTGCACTGCTGGGAGCTACACAGCCACCATAGGTTTGGATCCAGTGCTGGGAGGCACGCGGTCACCCCAAGTTCAGATCCAGTGTTGGGATATGTGGTCGCTGTGGGTTCAGATCCAGTGCTAGAAGCCACATGGCCACTACAGGTTTGGATCTGGTGCTGGGAGTCACGCAGCCACTACAGGTCTACAGGTTCAGATTCAGGTCAGCCTGAAAACACGCCAAGCTAGTTCTTGCACGTCAGGGTTGTAAAAAGCAGATCGCGGCAAAATGGGAGCCTGTCAAAGATGCTTTTCTCCCCCTTTTCTGATGCACATGTGCTATCCTAGATAAAATCAAAATTACATTTTAAGAAATTAACATTTTAAAGAAACACCAGTATTATTCAATGTGGTGAGAAAAATTCAAGCTTACTCATCACTCATGACAAACCAGCCAGTAAGAAGACACAGGGCAGATGAGGCTGGGCAGGAGGCTCATGGCTACGCCAGGCAGACCTCCAGCCTGGGTCCAGGAGGCCTCCACCCTCACCTGCAGGCCCTGGATGGCAGATGAGTAGACATCAGTGGCAGAGCTTGCACGAGCAGGAACACTGAAGACACAGGGGAGGCATCAAGATCCAGGTGCAATGACGCACGCAGGTGCTGCCCATGCCATCCTGTGCACGGGCTCCGCAGTCACAGGGGACTCGCCCATCCTTGCCCACCCGCAGACTGCTGACGGCCCCACAGCACTGCTCACCAGGTGTTAGAGCCTCAGACAAAAATGCGGCAGATGGTTTTTGGTCTGCTTCCTAGGCCCTCAAAGGGTGAACAAGTTAAGTGTGAGAGGAGCAGCGGGGTGCCAGGGACACCCCCTTAGGGCACCCCAGAGGAAATGGGAGGACGAAAACTTCGGAACTCAGAGATGACTACCTTGAAGAGCACGCTCCTGCATCAGTGTCCCTCTCAGCCCTTGTGATACTGATAACCAGCAGCACTGCCCAGGTAATAGAACCCCGCTGGCTCTCTGGGCCCTCCCACCTCCCTCTCCACACAAACATGCGTCCCAAACTGACACCGAGAGTACAGACCACGGCGCAGATGGGTGGGCCGTGGGGATCAGCAGCAGAGACATGATGATTCAGGCTGGGACAGAAAACCCACCAGGGTCCAGAAGACCTCAGCGAGCTGCTGCTCAGTGTAACCCAGACTGCCTTTGCCTTTCCTCCCTTTTGGCCTCTCTGAAGCAATCACTGGGTATCAACTTCCTGCCGGTAATTAAATTTGCATATCCCGTCACATTTGCTTCCACGGTTGAGATAGGACTCAAAAGTTAAGTGGCCAGGGCCTGACACCTCCATTAGCATAGCCTCGGGCAGCTCTAGGCAGGAAGTGATGACAAGCACCTCCCTCTCCTGGACTCTGGATGCCCAGTTGAAGGGCTCTCTTACTGCATAGCTAGCTCCAGGAGAGTCTGCAGACCCTTTGCCACTGAGTGGTGACACTCAGCACCGACCTGACCCTGCAGCCAGACACAAAAGCATGAGCCAGAAAAGCAAGGGGCGGGGACATCAGTGAAGCGCACTGCTGGGCATCACCACCACCTCCACTTCAACTGCCTGGCTCTAGCTCACGACACCCTGCATCCTCGACACCCTGCATCCTCGATAGGTCCCCAACCCCACCCTCCCCCCAGCCATTCACCACCTCCAGCTGCGGCGGGTGTGGAACCAAACTCCCAATAGACTCGGGAAGTACAAGGGCCTGCTTTCGAGGCCAGCCTCAGGGCCTCCCTCCAAAGGGGTGCCTCAGCCGTGAGTATGGGCACTGATCTGACCTCCACTCCTGAAGAGCCTGAAACTTCCTAGGTCACCCAGTCTGTGCTGCTGAGGGAAACCACCAGGAATCGTGCTCCCACTCTTCCTGCCCTCCCTGCCAGAGGAGTCCTGGCAGTCAGGCCTCATCAGAGACTTGGGAGGCTGGAGGCCTGGTACACCTCCATGCAGTAACCCAAGGTCAAGGGCTTGACAACAGGGGGCCAGGGAGGTGGCGGCACAGGGGAGATGCACAGGGAAGCTGCAATCTGCCAGCGTCCCGAGGCTGGGCTCTCAACCATCTGCCCGTCGCTTGTTGGCCACAAGCTGTCCTACTCGCCGCAGAAGCCGAGGGGCAGAGACCAGCCAGCCGACAGGAGGGACTGCTGTGGCCACCCCAACATCCTGACCTGCGCATAGGTGCCAACCCCACCAAATGCCCTTTGCCAGGCAGCACATGCCCTCCTCCACAAGGTCAGATGACACAGCCCGTCTGGAGCACAAGCTGGGCCTTGAGGGCCAAAGAGTACCCCCCCACACTATTGGCCTGGTTCTTAACAGGAAGAGCTACTCCTCAGATAAAACCTGGAAAGCTGCAAGCATCTTTTTTGGCACTGTGCATTTCATTCTTTTTTAAAGGGCAGAGATAATTAAGTTTGGAAAGCACTTATTTTTCATGTTGTCGGGCTAATTATAGTTTAAAAATCATTTAAATGTCACCCTAAGGGATATGTGTGCCAGATTGCCTCTTCAGTCACCCAAGGCCGGGAAGCCAGGATTTGGTCGGGCTGATGGCACCTCTACACGAGCCCTGAGAAGCTGGCTGGAGAGGTCCCTGGGTGCCTCTGAGCCCACTGAGGGCCAGGCTGGCCAGGGCAGGAGGTGGCCATTTGGATGACACCCCCACCCCGCCCCAGCTAAAGTCTGGGGTTCAACAAGGCAGCTCATTCCAGACCCTATCATACATGAAATCTGAATTAAAAGAACTGGACTGGGGACCAGCAGATGGCTTAATGGTTGTGTTGCTAGACTCCCACACAGTCAACTGCAGTTTGAGTCCCAGACCTTGTGGTTTAAAATTCAAGCCAGGTGCATGTGCGTGTGTGCACAAGATCCCGAGAGGAGAATGGAGAAGAAGGGACTGCAGTGTGGCCATCCCCCTGGGGGATGAGTTTTTGCTTTCTGTCCCTCTGTCTCTCTGCCTCTCTAGTGAGAGCATGCACTCTATAGCAAAAAAAAAAAAAAAAAAAAAAACTGGACTGAAAGGCCAGTTCTAGGGCCTGGTGTTCATGGCAGCTAGATCTCACATGGCCAACTGCGTGGTTCGAGTCCTAGACCTAATGACTAGGGAAACACACCAGGTGCATATGCATGCATGCCCAAACTCCTGAAAGGAGGAAGAGATGGAGGAAAAGGGATCACAGCACGAACATGCCCCACAGGAAGTGCTCTCTCCTCCCCTCCTCTCTTTGTGCCCCTGTCTCTCTCTGGTAAGTGCACATGCACTCTAGCAAAAAAAAAAAAAGAAAGAAAATAAGAAGATAGAAAGAAAAGAAAGAAGTGGACTGGAAGAGGATGGGTCCGTTACACCCCTTCCCAGATGCTCTCCCTGCAAGTGCAAGGCACAGCTCTGGCCGGAACCAGCCCCATTCCAAGGGGTCCTCTCCCGCTCTGGCAGCAGCTGGGCCGCCATGAGTTAAGAGGAGGTCTTTCCAGGCCCAGGGTCAGAGCTGATGGCCGCTCAGCTCACGCTGCAGTGAGCGTCAAACCCTATGCCAGTCCCCAGGTGGAAAGGAGACATTAAATTAATGCTGCACGACGCAGACACAAGGAGCTCTGGAGAAAATGAAATTCTGAAGAGCGGGTCTTGCCAGCTAGCTGACCACCTGCATGCGGTTAATGAATAAGTAATAGGGCCAAATTAAAGCCGTCACCATCAATTTCCAGTGGCTGGCACCAGCCTTCAGCACCATGCAATGCTGCTGCCTTTCATTCGCTCACCGCAGAACATGCGGTGGCAGGTGCTCCACGGTGGAAGTCGGCAGCCAGTTTGAGGTTTTATTAGGTCATCAAAGAGAAAAGCAGACCTCTCCAGAGTGACCCGGGCGCCTGGTGCTGGAGACCACCCTGTAGACAAGACTTCCTCGAGAGGCCAGGCGTAGGGATACGCACAGAGAGGTAATTAGACTAGGCCACAGTGGACGCTGCCAATGCCAGTCGGGCCTGGGGCTGCCCAGGAGCAGCGTTCCCCATCCCACTAAGTAAGAGCCAAAGGGATTCTTCAGCCTCTTCTTGAGAAGACCTGAGGCAAAGGACCCCTCACATCCTCCCTGAGAAAGCAGGGAGCCAGGGTGAAGCCTCCAGACAGGCTGAGCAAACATTGGCCTCCTGTCACCAGATGTGTGTGGGGGATGGGGCAGTGGCATGAACAACTACATGTGGGGACCAGAAGATGGCATAATGGTTATGTCGCTAGACTCCTACATAGTTGAATGCAGTTCGAGTCCCAGACCTGGTGACTGAAAACTCACACCAGGAGTGTGTGCATGCATGCCCAAAATCCCGAGAATGGAAGAGAAGGAATTGCAGCATGGCCATCCTACCAGGAGACACTTTCTGTCTCTCTGGGGAGTGTGTGCACCCTATAGCAAAAAATCTCTTGAAAAAAAAAAAAAAAGAGAAAAAAGAAAAACCACACACGTGTATATGTGTATGTATGAGCATGCATACACACTACACACCATACACAACACACACTCCACACCACAGTCCACACACACCTCCCACATTACAAACACTCTACATACACTACATAATGTACACACAGCATATCCCAAACACCCCACAAGCATCACATCACACACACACTATACACACCCCACATCACAAATACCTCATCACACACACATACACTTGACCATACACATGATACACACATACCACATACATTCCCCCAATGCACGCACCTCAACAGCACACACACACACACACACCTATCAGTTTCTACACCAAAAGGAGCAGTGCTCGGAGCTCAGGCCCTTGCCCTGGGGAGACTCACTCTTCCTACTCCTCCTGGCAGCCTGAGGCCCACAAGCACCTTGAAATACACCTCTCCCCCCACACACCCCAGGTCAGCCACACTGCATTTCATTCCAACCCCGGGGTTCCTCCAGGGATGGGAACATAACACAGCTGCGCTACAAAGGTTCTGGGGGTCTCCCATTTGGTGCAGTCACTAGCCCTTGATGGCCTCAGAGGCTGCCTGGGGTGTTGAATCAGAAGCAATTTCTTGCCTTTGTAGAGGACCCCAGACACTCTGCAACAAGGCTGCTGTCAGCTAAACGTACTTCTTATGGAAAAAGATGGGTAAAGCTCTCACATCAAAAAGGCACCATTTGGAACAAGGACTCCAAATAAAAATGAATTTGAAGCTACCACCCTCCTGTCCCAGAAAGGACCTGGGGTGAGGAGCAGGCGGACACTGGGCTGCCCACGGCCCCTTGGGCATCTGCAACCCTGACAAGAGGACAGAGCGTTTCTGCAGGAAGTGGCAGATCCTGCAGACGGGGGTGTTGTTTCCCTGGGCAACTTTGGATTGCAGTATCTGCCAGATGGATTTTCAAAAGCCATCAGATAGAGACTCAAAAGGAAGCTGAGGAGCTGAAGGTCAAATGTTCAGTCTGGTGGGTTTTGATTGCAAAGGCCAGGTAATCCCATCAGCCTCGCTCCCCGTGCCCTATTGATTACGGGAGAGTCTGGAAGCAGCTGTGCATAATCAGATCTGGCCACTCCCCAGTTCCAGCCCCAAACAACTAACCCCTTTGCCACTACCTTGTTACAACTGAGCCTTCTCTCCCCACGGCTCAGGATCTGGGGACTCAGGGAGGATCACCCTAGAGAGGAGGAAGGAAAAGGACTGCCAGGGAGCCAAGCCTGCAGACAAAGAGGATCCCCCTCAGCCGTGGGTCAGAATCCCCCTAGGGACCAGACTATTCAGTGTGACCCGGCCAGCACACACTAAGAGCCTTTGCCAACAGGGGAGCCAACCCTGTAGACATGTCTGCACCCTCAAGGTCACCCAAGCCTACAGGTCTTCACTAGACAATCAGCTGGCTCCACAGTCTGGGAACAGACTAAAGAATTCTCAATGGCTTCTCAGACACCCTGCTGTGGCCAAGGCACAGACATTATTTCCATATTATTGAGGATAAGGTGCCAGAAAAGCCAACTAACAACTGTTCCCTGACCAATCAGATCTTGGGTTTTAAACTCTCAAGTGAAGTGCTATTTGACTCCCCAGATGGCGGGTGGGGGAAGACTTGGTGAGATTCATTCAGATTTTGCCACTGGACAGTAGAGGCCCCAAGGCAGGCCCAGGCCTTTCCTCACAAAAACCCAAATGTCCACCTTCAACCCAGACAAGCATTCTTAGCTTCTTACAAGTCAGCTCCTCATAAAAAGGAAAGAAGAAAGAAAAGAAAAAAGAAGAAGAGAAAAGGGAAGGGAAGGAAAGAGAATGAAAGGGAAGGAAAGGAAGAAAAAAGAAAACAGAGGAGGAGTGCACTGAAAGCCTTTCCACCTCTTGAAACACCAGGTGGGGCCCTGCTGAGGCCCTGACCATGCCCTCCCTAAAGTTGTCTTCCACATTTCAGAGATGGAGGCATCTCTCCCAACTGCTACTCTAGTTCTCTGAGTGATGGGACATCTTAGTGAACTATAAGCCAGCAGGCAGGGCCATGGGGAGGCTGACAAAGTAGGCAGATCAAACTGTAGATGCTACCGAGAACCAAGAGCCACCCAGCACAGGGGCCCCATCAGCTGTCAAGATGTGCCTCTCACAGGAAGGACCGAGGCCCTAACTGTACTTGTGTGATCACCTCAGGGTGGAGAAGGGGTTGAGAGAATCCTCTTACAGAGACCAGATCTGAACCCTTTGTTACGCTGTTCGAGTGAACTAGGGGGGTTAACGAACTACCCGAAGCTTAGTAGATGAAAACCATTCATCATGTTCCTAGACTCTGAAAGTCAAGGCTCAAAGACGGGGATTTGGAACTGTGAAGGCTCATTTACGCTGGTGGTAAACGCTGTCTGGGGATGAGGAGCTCAGGCTCACACGTTGGTGACAACGATGCTGTGAGGTCACTTGGCAGGATCCCTACATAGCCCTGGGCCAGGATCAGCCAGAGTTTCCATGTGGGTGAGTCTGGCTCCTTCACGTGTGGCGGCTGGGATGAGTATCCCACAGGGGAGAATCAGGAGAAGCCATGGCCCATTTTACAGCCCAGCCTCAGAAGTCGCGTGGTGACAGCCACATCCCTTCATCGAGGCAGCCATGAGGTCCCTACTGGGGTCATGCAGGAGGGTAAACAGATTCCACCCCTTGACAACAAATGGCCAGAAACATTGCTCTGGCTACTTTGGGACGTGACAAACTGCCCCCTGGCATCAGCACCGCTTTGCATCAGTGTCACAAATGCAGGCATCCCCACAGGGCCCACCACTGTAACGATGGCCCTGGTGGGACTTCACTTGCAACATCACTTATTCCACAGATAAGAAATCAAAATATCTTGAGCCCCATGACCTCCGCAGAGAGGCCGCACTGAGCTGCCGGGCAAACTTAACTTCTGATGGCAACACCAACAAGACCAGGCCACGGGGCTCCATAGCCCATACGCCATGCTCAACCCACTCCTCTTCTGTAACAGGGCAGTCGTGAGGATTCAGCCAGGAAAACAATAAAGATTGGCGACAAAGATGACAACAGGACAGAAAGTCATCAGGTGAGGCCTCTACGTGGCCACCCAGTCATTCCT